ATTAGAACTTCAGGCAGATGTGAGATGAAGAAAACAAAAGCTAGACATTGAAGTTAATTAACTTTGCTATGTTTCAGTGGATTTGATAAGAGAATTCTGTTGGCAAAAGTTGAAGGGCTCTGCTTACTCAATCTTTGATGGATTTTATGGATTTTAAAGTTAGTGAGTTTCTCAGTCCCTATTACTGCATGTAATTGAGTGTTAGCTTTAGCTAAAAACTTAAGATGAGAAGTGTGGTGATGGGCTCTTTTCCATGCATACCTGCGAAGAAGAGAAGTGAGCCCATAAAACGTGGTGGTTTGGGCTCATTTTCATGGAGAGCAAAGCAGTTACAAAGGAAGCCTTATTAATATCTTCAATACGGAATAGAAAACACGTGTCCTATATGACCGGAGTATAATCCTACCTGGATTGTACCTGGAGAAGGTGTGAGGGGATGAGGAATAAAGGAGAAGTGATAGACTCAGGGGCTTCTGGAAATGTTCGTAATTATCAAACTTTTGGTCTTCTATTTTTGGTTTGATTTTTTTCTCTTTGATGTCTTCCCTTTACATATTGAATTTATTTTGAAATGAAGTTTTAAACTTCTATTTTATGGATTTTCTTTCTTCCTCTTCCTATCCAGCCCCTATCCATGAAATGTCCAGTTTAATGTTGGTGTCTCGTCATAAGGAGTGAGGTTGCAGGAACTTATCCTCAAATTGTTATGGTTTTATCCAATTCCAGAGAGACTGCATTTGCTGGGCCTCTCCCAAACCGTTGTAGCCTTTTCAACAGCAATATCTGAATACTATCGAAACAATCCACCAGGGCCTCAAAAACTGTAAAGAAGCAAAGCCAGTTTCAAGCAGACGTTTCCATCTCCATTGCAGTTGTGTCTTGAATACAACACTGGAAAAATTAAATATCCACTTTACACCTTGGGGTCTAGTATTTCAGGGAACAAATATTGGAAAAAATCATTGGGATTTCCCCCCCGATTTATATGGTAGGCTTTACACAGCTATGAACATAAAATTGCGTCGTTATATATGTGATCACTTACCATTATCAAAAACAATGACATACATCCATGAGGACTGTGAGGGTTGCTTACAAACTCCTGTAAATCACAGTAAATGCAACTAAAAGACGTTGAATAAAGCTAGGCCTGTGGACACTGATGATAACGCATTTATATTGGATCCCTTTTATGAACACACTGAAAAAGCATT